AATAAGGAAGAACTTTACTGCAATTTATGATAAATATTATTTATAACTTCTAAGATTTTTTCCAAGAATATAAAATCGGAAATAAACATTGTTAATAAATAATAATCGTAAGTTGTAACCATTAAATGTAATAAGTTGAAATAAACATTTGTATTTTTAAAACAGAACTATGGAATAGGATGAATATAAATTGGAACTATAATTAATTGTTTTCTTATTAAAAATATAGGCTTAGTCTAACTGGTTCATTAGCCTATGCAATTGATATTAACAAAACAAAATTAATTCTTTTAAAACCAATTATAGACTACATGTCTATATTAAATATTCATATGCCTATTATACTTGTGCATAGTAGGTATGTGCATATTTAATTTAGCATATAAAATCTACGGAATATAGTTATTTGAAAAAGGTATAGGTATAATGTTATCAATAGATTTTTTAAATATATATTTTGATAGTGACATAGGTACCAGGTAAATTTATATTCAGTACCTATTTAATAATTATACAAATCATAAATATAAAAAGTATATCAAATGAAAAATAAAAAATAAAAGGAGATTTAAGTCAGGAGAGGGGGAAGTCACCCATTGAAGGCTCCCCTACAATATAATATGAAATATATACCTATTATGTATCATATTCATTTATAGATTAAATTTCAAATTTTTATTTCAAGACATGAATTGAACCACAGTCCACAATGAAATGAAAACAACAAAAGTAGGTACAAATTAGAAGTGTTACAGAAAATTATTTAAACATTAAAGTTAAAACAGTAAGGTAAATTTGTATTTGTCAATAAAAAAAGTATTTTCACTATATATAATATGATTATTATACTTTATAGGCACCCAAGGGTATTTAGTCAAAAACATCCCGGGAGGGAGGGAATCACGCCCCTTCTACCGATATATCTTTTTTTTTTTTTTGATTTAAGCTTCGGCAACTGAGGCCATTAGCTGTAGGTTGTGTGGTACTGTAGAGTTTTTGGGACTGTAGGGGGGGGGGAACACGTGTGTGTTTTTGTTTTTGGCAGAATTTCTATTGGGCACCCGTAGGTTTCTGCCATGCCCGGTTGGGGGATGGCGGCACTTGTTCTCCGGTCACCGCGACTTGTCCGGAGAAAAATGCCGCCCGGTGGCCGAGGATCGAACCGCGATCGGCTGCGTCGCAGCGGACGCGTCAGACCACTCGGTCACCTCGTCCCCCCGATATATCTTTATATTCTTGTTTAACCGACAGCAGAGCTAAAAGGATCTGTTTGAACAATACTACTCCTCTGCTGCCATCGTTTATAGATGTATAAAATGTATAAATACATACAATATGCAACCTTACGACGTTCACCGATATATCTGACACTAATACACAATACGTTTTTATTATGCACTATCCTTATAAAATTGTACAACTTATTCATGTTAATATTGTTATAAAATAAATATTTTTGAAATAATTTGATTTTTAATACGTCAGGCGCCAACTACCGTGCACGTACACGCATTAAGCACACGTGCTGTTGCTTTAACATTAACACGCATGGATTATCCGACGGTTTACGAGCAATTTATTATCTGTACATGGGAAATTTATATTCGGCAAGAAATAAACCAGTCTATTATTCAATTATCAAATGTATATAGGTATAGTTAAAGATTTATAAGAACAAACTTTTTTTTTTAAAATTAATATTAAATGGGTAATGCAGTTAAATATTTATAATACATACATAATCAATAACCTGAACAATTATCCCTTTTAAACATTTCAATAGTTTAGTGTATATAATGAAATAACATTAATGTCACTTTTTTTTAAAACTATAAAAAACATAGTGCCATAGTGGTCTAAAATCATACAAAACGTTTAAAAAATCCCTCATCGAAAGATTAATATACCTAATATAAATTATAATAAAATATGTATATAGCCTATTAGTCCTGCAAACTATAACTCTATATTTGCTATTGTACTCGAAAGTTAATTTTTCTTTTTCAAATATTTTTGCAATTGTTTGGATATGTTAAATTGTAAAAATTATTTTTTTCAAATTATTGTAATTATTATGTTTATAATCTACCTATACAACTAAACAATACCGTAAATTCAATAATTTGTATACTGATAGTATTTATTTTATCATTTATTTTTGAAAGAAACAAGTTTATTGTTACATCTACTTCCTTTAATAACAGCTTGTGTTGGAAGTAGAGAGTTACATATTATTATAAATTATTAATTATGAATACCTATACCATGCCTTGGTACATGCAGTGTAGATATAAAAGGGAATAGTAAAATTAATAAATTACTTAAAATCAAAATATCGAAAGATTACAATTTACAATGTTTAAGAATTGAATTAAATTCCTTCACAATTGTTCTAAATATGCAATAAATAATACAAGTGTGTCTTTATTAAGTTTAAAAAATATTTTGCTTGAAATGATTGTTTGTTAGAAATTCAAAAATATATCTTTTAATTTTTTGTATAGATTAAAACCGACTTAAATGAGTATTTAATAGATGATAAATAATATAATGTTTATGAATATATTTGTACATAAATTAGTAAGTACACCGTATACCTATTATAGGTGCATTGTTGTACGAATATACGGAAATACCTATAAGCGTAACAAAATCGAATATCTATCTCTTATTCGTTTTTTATTTATATAACTATTAATAAACGCAATGACTAATTATTTGTATAAAAAAAAACAAAAATACTTGTTAGTCCGTTAAATCACTAAATGCTTAATCACGTTAATGACTTCATTGATTAAAGTGATCGAACCTTTTGTAAAAAAAATAAAAACATTTTATGAATGGATTAAAATCCATCGATTGGTTCGGTCAGTGTAATGTGAATTGCAAAATATAGGCGCTGCGATACAGTCTTAAATTACCGTTTAATATTGTTAGTTTTTATGCTGTTGTCGTTTTATAACAATTCACAAATCTTACACGCCCACTGGATTTAAACATGAAATTTCACACGATGGCATGGTAATTTCACGTGAATTAGATGTGCAATAGGATCTGTAGAGGAATTGTTAAAAATTCACTTAATGTGATAAATTCCACAAGTTAGCGGAATTTAGCATATAAAAAAGTAATACTATTCAAACGCTTCAGATACAATATTCAATGTGCCTACCTACGTGATTACATGTATAGGAAATATGTCTTTATTTAAGTCGGTCAAGTACCTTTAAGTTTAGAAGTTCAAGATTCAAAGACAAAATAAATCATCAAATACTAAAATAGTAATGAAACACTGTACGTATATTAATTGTCTAAACAATAACGTATTTATGTATATTTATCGTAATTTTATTAAATTGACATTTTATTAAAAATAGAGAAGAATCAATGGAATTCGAAAAAAAATTCAGAACAACAAATGTCAATTCATCACAAATACGACATACCTGCCTATTAAACTTTAATCATTATATTAACATAATAATATAATAACATACACATAATAACAACAATAATTCGATGACTATGCGCGTATGATGAGAAAATTACTGTGGTTGCATTGAGCCATTTAAATATAATATGCCAAAAATCAAAATACCCGTCAATCATCGATTCATCGTTAGAAAATTACCATTGACCGAAACTAATTTTGTAACGAAGAAGAAGTTCAAGTGTGTCACAGCGATGTTATAACACTAATATTTTATACCAATACTGTGTACTAGGTATTTGTGTAACGAAGAAAATAAAAATAAAACGTCATTAAAATGTAGCATACCTATAATATTTGAGAAAACGTTTTTGCGCGGGTCACGCGAGTACCTAACCTACCTATACTTGCAAATACGATTATATTATTAGACGTATAAACACGGATTTGTCACACCATTATACGGTACCTAACCTACCTATATTTGCAAATATGATTGTATTATTATACAAATAAACACGGATTTGTCACATCATCATACGGTATATATACAGAAATTACTGTGAATATCACATTTCCGGCATGTCCGGCTAGTTTCTATACGTACACACTGACAATGACACTACCTAAATATATACGTACGTTTAGGCTTCGGGTGCCGCCCACATAACTGGGCCACGGCGGCGTGTACTCCGGGGGCAATATTGTTCGTTGGTGTTAACAAGTCGAATGAATAGCTGAATCGGACCTATAACAAGAACAGAGGTGTAATTGAGTACTGGCATTGTAATAATTATTGCAGGTAGGATTTCCAAGATATTGTCCTAGATTATCAGGAGGCGCGAGTCCAATGCTGCGTACATTCGGCCGTACTGGGGCAGTATATGTATTGGGTTCCGAAACCTATCAATACAGCGAAAGTGGTCGTATTATATAGGCACACAAAGAAAGTACGGATAGGTACAGCGGGACATAATATACTATTATTTTATTTTCCGTTCTAATTATCTGAACTGCGATGACACAACTGATTGTACATATAAGTTATAATATTATTATATTATTGTAATAAATATTTAATAACGGTAATTTACTGTTTCTACAGAAGGATAAAAATTCACTTGTTACCGAGCATTACTGTGTGATGGATAAAATAAAATGAACTTATATGACTGTAAATGTTAGGTATAAGAAAAATCATAATATTGGTTGGATCTCAATATTAATCACTTCAGTATCTATCCCGATTTAATAGGCACACTCGTGACGTGAAATTTATAAATAAATAAGCACTTTTTAATAAGTAGTTGTTATCTAATAATTAATCATATTAGTTATTTACATACTCAAAAAAAAATATTGCATCAAACAAAAATAAAAAAATATGTATTATGTTTATTATAATATACAGCTATAGTATAGGTTTTGTACGGGTATATACTATATAATCAATACTGCCTGTTAAATTGATCTACGGAAATGTTTTACCGTAACTATAATTATAGACAATTTAGTAATATTATTTATTTTTAAATAGATAATATTTAATTAGTTAATTATTTTGTTCTAGCAGGAAACGAATAAATCAGCAACACCTAACCAAGGATTAAAACCAACAAAATACCATTATTATCCACACAACCAACACATATATCTTCTACCCGAGTGTGCAGTTCAACAGGTAATATTATTAGAACTTTTTATACTTGATAAAATAATTTTTTTTATTTGTAAGTTAGAATTGTAATGCAATTTAATATTATATTTGAATTTAATTTTTTTAAATGCTTTAGTTTAAATTAGTTTAAAAAAAAAATTATTATTTAGGTAGGGACCTACTTTAATGCGATCTACCGAAATCTGAGATCACCGACTAAATAATTTTGGTGTTGTGTGCTATCAACTGATATCGGTTGTCAGTCGTTTAATGTGTAATGTCTAATTCAATGTCAATATATTCGATAAATTCCTAAATTACATTAAGACAACTTTTTATTAGGTTAGGTTAATTTAAAAAATATAGACGTATAACAAAATTAATGTAACGTAACTTTTTTATAAGACTTGTTAAATAGATTTAAAAATACACAATTGCAATAATACTATAATAGTTTTAATACTGGCAAGTAAAGGTGTTAGACAGTAATATATTTTAAAACATTAAAAATTGAGGATCGCCTAATGGCGGGAAAGCCCATGCAACACTATATCACCTTTATATTTTATTCTACTTCTGTGCACATTTAACAAGTATAATTAATCAAAATGGTCATTTCACGTTATTGTTTAAAAATTAATATTAATTCAAACACCGAAATATGTAGTATCTACGACCCACACCTGTGTTGTCATATATGAGCCAACAAATAATATAACATAGGTACCTAATATTATATTGTATTTTGTGCTGAAAAAAATTCAAACGTTTTTCAACCGCTTGCTGTTGGATTTGTATTTTTAATATTGTTTAATTAATATGGTCAACAAGTTATCAATGAATACGTTTTATTCTACAGGTGTGCAATGCTGTATATGTGAGACTCAACTACACGCAGCCACTATGCGCCTGTCCGTCCAGGTACAAAGAGCCGTGCTCGGCATCCTTGAATGCTGATGACCTACACACTACGGAACTGTCTACGGACCCAACCGGCAAAGTGAGTGAAAATAAATTGCATTATTTCGGGATTGTTCACATACCTACCTAGGTATTAGTCGCGACCATTTAAATTATTAGACTATATAATTATCATCTGCCTATATCGATTGTATTTAGTGGACATCGATGAAATATTAATTTGGCTAGGTACTGGTATAGGAACCTACTACTAACAATTATGCCAGATGGGGAAGAATCAATTCTCTTGCAGTTAGAACAATAAACTATTATCATCATTCATTAGCATTTAGCAATAAATTATATTGTCCTCACATCGGCCCAGTCATTAACTGTGCGTGTGTAAATTGTAAGTACAATAATATGTTTAATATGGATGCAGCGTGTGTATATTTAAAAAAAATTAATAATGAAAACAATTATTATACACAATAGACACAGATACTGCATAGATATTACTTTGTAAACCAAATGATTATAATGAACGATATGCATTGGATTGAATTTATTATTGTTTAAACGTATCCATTTTAGTGTTACCCTTACTTTTAAAACGATTTTGTATAGGTAAGCATGATAATAATATTATAATTTAATATATACATACTATGACATAATGTCATATTTTCATATATTCTATATATAAGCATTTGCGCAAATATGGGAGGGAGACTTAGTTCCCCCCCCCCCAGTTAAAAATCTATTAATTAGTACTGTAATTTTACTTATATTATAGCTATGGGGAGGAGAGCTTGAGTCCCCCCCAAAAAATTTAGCCAATTTGCGCCTATGTTTATAAGTACATTATACCTATGGAAACTAGACAAAAACTTTCAGTTAAAACCTAAAACGAATCTTACATGTTCGCAACATGCGTTAAATTCTCTTACATTCGTAGTTTTAATGTGCAGACTTATTTTTAAATGCACATTATAAGTGTCCTAACATCATCTTGATATAATTTTTTTAATCTTCTATTGAAGTATGAACTATATGTCTACTACTCTATTGGGTGTCTTGATGATCAGATTTCATTGTCATATAACAATAATATATGGTTTATTACTGTTATACTTACCTATAGTTTAAAATATGATAATAAACAAAACAATACACTGCGTCTCCTCAAAATCATATGGCCTATGTGTTCCATTATTTTTTAAAACGTATATTTTACGTACATCGATTGATAGAATCTAAAACATATTTATTAACTGTAGTTAAAAAAATGTATTTATAATATTTATTATTTATGACCTATATATTATATACTACACACATCTCATACGACTTGTAAAATATGCATATCGCAAAGAGGCACAAGGCACAAAAATAAATTATATGATGAGAAGATGAGAACAAAAATAAATAAAATAAAAGAATACTTTTAGCATTTCTATTACAAGCCTATAGTGTACCGTGTATCATGTCAATAATGATGTTATGTAGGTAGTGAAAAAAATGGTTATAACTTTATATTATTTCAATTACATTTGATGTGTTGGCAGGCATGTCATTAAATTTGCTGAGTCTTGACCAACTTATCATCTATACATTTTGAATATATTATAAAAAACAAACAAGCAAATATTATTAAATAATTTGTTCGATTTATAAATAAGAAGATGCGTGGTAAAAAAACAAACCTGAATATTTAATTTTTTTTTAGTGAACGCATATTATGCACATTGAATAACAATAAGTAGGTATATCTTGCCTAGTGCCTACCGTATATTCAAACTGTCAAGACAAAACAAATATTAAAGATATCGTTTTTTTCTTGAACTATTCGCACTATACGGAATCACTGCGTATTTTTCGGAAGTACCATTGTTTGTTTCTGCATACATAATTCAATATTCACATTACACACAATATGTGGCATGTGCATTGCAGTAAAACGGTACTCTTATATTCAGTGTTCATTTAAAACAATGTCAATAACTATTAAAGATAGGTACTTTTTAATTTTTTTTTCATAAGTATTTTTATTTTGAAACTAGTTTTATTATACTATAAATATTCAACGAATTGAAAACTAAACTTAACTTGCAAAACACAAAAAAAAATTGAATATTTTAGTTTATTTTTTTAAAAAAGCTCCAATAAAACTTATATCATTTTTTAAAAAAAAGGTTCATTAGTATAGAGAAAAAGCCAATAGTCTATCAATGCTTTCAAAGTTTCAAAGCTTATAGTTATACCTTCCTACTGTTGTAATGAATACATCGTTGATGTTAACTCTTTATTTCAAGAATATATTTATTTGCAAAGTACAGGTTATTACATTGGTATATAATTGACATTAGACACGGTTAGGTAATAATAGACTTACAGCTTAAAATTATATGTTAATACTATTTCACCTTCTATACCAGGGGTGGCCACAACGAGGCTCGCGAGCCCCATGCGGCTCTTAATTCAATTTCGTGCGGCTCTTGCAAAATACTTATAGTCTAAAATTAATAAATATATAATTTCATAAGAACCGTAAGATAGTGGTTTTTATTGTCGTCGGTTTCGTTATTATTTTAGTCGTTATTAGGTATAGATTGGCACGGCAGCGGCGGTGGGAGCTTTTAATATGTGTAGCCAAAAATAATCACCGTGTGTTTCGACCATTCCAGAGTTCTTTCAATTGATTTAAAATGAAAATGTATCTTCATTTTATAAACATTACTTTACAATGTGGGTCACCTCGAATTAGTTTTATAAATTTGCGGTTCCCAAAGTTAATGTTAGTGGCCACTGGCCACCCTTCGTCTATATGGTCATCGCCTATGATTGGTCAATATAATGCCACTTCTGCAGATAGATTTATTATTGTAATTTGACAAACACTGAAATACATGTTATATTAAACAATGTTATAACGTGTTCTTTTAAGCTAATCTTTGTAGGCAGCCAGGCAAGTATATATATTATATACCTACATATATATATATCCCAAACCTACGTGTTAATAGTTTTTTCTATATTACGAATATAATATTATTACACCAGAAAGATTGTAATATATTTTACCCGTCAAAACCAAATAAATAAATAAATACAGAACACGAAAACTCTTTACCGTTTACACTGGCCACTTACGAACTATATATACCTAATAAAAACATATGTATTCATTCTTATAATATATACTTTAAAAGCAGCAAAATCAGCATTAAAAAACATAGTTCCGCGTAGTATACGACGATATACGCGTGCGCGTAAATACCCGCCGCCACCGCCGCCACCGCCGCTTTGCCATAATATTATACATTATACTGTATAGATATGTGTATGTATTATTATGGCTAGTACACGCATTAGGTACGGTGTTGAAAATGTCGTGAAATCGTGCGATTTTGGTCTCGTGCATGTATAGTGGCGACCGGCGAGGTAAAAAATGAAATAAAAAAATAGGCAAAAAAAAAGCCGCGAGAGTACCGTTTTTTTCTATCGCGCGCCGGGCCACGACCCACTTATTTCGCACACTCCCTCCGCCCCCGCGACCATATTTTGAATTGCTAATGCTCGGGCGAGACCACATGTGGTGCAAACGTTTCCCCGAGTGCCTATATAGGTACAGCCCGCTTTTTTATCGTCGTCTGCCGAACCTAAACGCGAGCCGAGCAGTGCCCATAACCTTAACCCGGTATAATACCATGATATTATTATATTATGTTTATACTATATTATTTAGTCCACTGCTGCAGTATATTAGATATAAATATATATATGCGTGTATTATTATTATTATTATTATTACACAGTCTTTCAGTGGCGATCGAAGGAGTAGAAGACCACTCTAGATATGCTCACCATATATTATATATACATAAACGCGTATATACGCAAACGCTCGGTGCCGCCGCACGGGTCGTCACGAATAGTCGTGTACGCGTTGTTATTATTATTATTTATTTATTTATTTATTATTATTATTATTATTATTATGTGTCCGTGTGCATATATGTGTGTATATGGGTAGGTACATTAAGCGTCGCACCACACTCACACGCCAGCGTTAACCGAGACCATAAATCTTGTTATAATATGTGTTGCCGCCAAAAAGGTGAAAACGGTAACATCCGCTACGCGCGGCGGCGGCATCGCCACCGCCTCGACCCAGACACGTCGGTCGTTATTAACACGACCATTCGACTAGAACTTTTACTCACCCGCAACAAACGGTTACACGCTCAGGTACACGAAATGCCTTTTGTTCACGTGTCTCCGGAAAACATACACACCTATACACGTGCACAATACACTATAGATAGGTACTAGGTAGGTACTGTGTTTTAGTATGGGTAGCCGATTCTAATCTAGCCATGAAAAACCATCGAGAAAACGTATATAAACACGCCGTTTAAATCATATTTGCAGCATACCTCGAGTCTATACTACTGCATGTGAACAAATACGAATCACCCATTGAGATTTTTTTTTCAAAATCCGCCTCTGTTTAGATGTAGTACTCGCTGTAGTAGGAACCCAATATTATTATTAATTGTGTATATTATTTAACCATTTTAGCGATAGGTACAACAACTAATCTATACACGTCATTTAACTACTGTTTAGTTCCTACAAAGGTAGGTTAGGTTAGTACTGTTTGTAATAAATCACGAGTCGACAATCATACACTCGTAACCTATATAAATAAATAATAATACACAAAGTTATACAACAATAATAATTGTAAATAGATACTCATAAGTCTCTATAACATTTGCCATGGATAAAAAAATAAAACAGTTACGGTCATTATTCACTGGTATTGCTTACAGTTGACAAGAATAGTAATAATAACTATAGAAAAGTTTGTACCTACATAATATTTAAAAAAAAAAAAACAGTTTTATTAATCCATTTTTAATGAAATTAGGCATCTGTCTACAAATCTCAAAATCCGTTAATGCTATAAAGTCAATTATTATATTATATTTATACAAATGACTGCAAATTATCTTTCTGTAATTCAAGCATAATTTATTTTGTCATATATCATTGTTGTTTGTTGCCAAGTTACTTTCGTAAATTAATCATATCAAGCCAACAAGAAAAAATGTTAAAACTTGTAACTAATTCAAACATTTGCTACCTTCTATAAAATATATTTTTAATTGATTTAAATCTGTTGAGGTTTGAATATTTTGATGTTAAGTTTAAAATATATATAATACATTTATAGGTAGGTACTAAATAATTTACTATATAAGACACGATTACATTTGCATAATATGCTATAATATTATTAGAATAAATATAAAATGGAGAAAATGAAACAACTAAAGATACATCACAATGCTTTTTAACAACAATGTCTGCAAACATTTATTTTAATTTTGCCACCCATTCGATATGTAATATAAATTGTAATTAGAATTTAAACTTATAGGTAGATACGCATTAACAAGTTCACTTACCAACAGGTAATTTAAATTCCAACAATCTGATAACCATCGTGGTTGTGGTAGAACATAACTAATCATTATATACATTTGACGTCATCTTAAATACATTTTTACACTTGATTAAAATGTAGAGTAAAGTAGTTCGGTACAAAGAAATCAACTTAATACAATCCTGTTATAACACATTTAATACTACAAATATATTTTATGGAATAGGAAAAACTTTAAGATATTCCTATACATTGTTATATTTTGCTATAAGTAACAATCCTGTACGAAGGACTTCTATAATCATCATTACGAAATAGTACATAGATATCTCCATTACTAACTTAATTTTTAACTCAATATTTGGTTTTTAATTTTCAAAGATTTATACGTTTAATAATTTTTTCAAATATTTAGATAGGTAACAATAATAATAATAATTGATAAACGCATTTAAACTTCGTACACAAATAGAAATAATCATAATATGTCTGTTTTTAAATTGCATACATGACAAATTCCTTAAAACTAAACAAATGGGTATTAGTGTAAAATACTCCTTCAGCTGAAAATAGTTTGGTCAGCGGTGAGAGAACCGTGACAAATTCAATTTAAAAATCGAACATAAAATAATCGTTTACCATGATTGTGGTAATTTAAATAATATTTCATAACTGGGCTCAATAATATTATTCACAGATCCTAATTCGACAACGAAAAAAATATATCGTTGTAGTATTATAATAAGTACCTACCAGCTATAGACAAGCCATACGAAACTTTGTTTTTTCACATTTATTGTACCTATACTTAAAAAAAAAATCAATGCACGTTAGTAATATTGATGATTATGTATGCCGTTTATCAGTGTAGTAATTTGAATATAATCTCTATATTAACATCACAAATACATTTTTTCATATTATACCTTATTTTCTGGTAGTTAAGTTCATTCATACATGTCGAATAAAAATGAAAAAAAATAATAAAAACCCCAATGTAGGTTTTTATTTTTTTCACAAAATTATCTATGCGGATTATAACATTATACGTTAAAAACAAAAACATGTCATAGCAGTATTTTAATATAGTATACAGTTTAAACTGTAGTGCCGTCTCGAAAACGAATCATTAATATTTTTACGCGAAATGATATTTGTTAGAACATTGGAAGTTGAGTAATGATAGTCACAAAACCTAAAACGCTTTTAAGCCAAATAAAAAAAAAGCAACAGAAAAAACAACATAGATTATTGGCGTTCATTACATTTTGGTTAGGTTAACCTACCTACTCCAGATTTTCGACATGTTTCTAGAATGAATAAAAAATAAAAACAACAAATATACGCACCACACCATGTTGAGCCTCGCGCAATTTCACACACTGCTTCCGAATACTATTAAACCTATAATTATTTTAAAAAATTGATCATCACATATTGTAATAGGCAATAGCATACTATTCATAATGTATAGTAAATTTAAATGCATCAGACCTAAGCCTGATATGGTTGAGCTGTTTTGAATTCGGAACGCAGCAACAAATCATAAATTTATTGATGTTGATTTTACAATGATACATTTTTTTTTTCATCAAACGTAGTTAGTATTTGCATTTTCTATACTTAATATTGTTCAGCCATTATTATAGATATTTAAAGTTTTCTTTAGTTTTTTAATTTTTTTTTTTTTTAATGGCAATACATAAATGTACATAAACATTTAGAACAAAAAAATTGAAAATTAAATAAAGTTCATTATACGTTTTTACTATATGTATCTAAATTCTGTATAATATCCTAACTTAAAATAATAAAACGCCAAGGGGAGGTTCGTAGTACCTAAAGATAGTAGATAGGTACTAATAAAAAAAAATTACGGTGTAACTTTTTTACCTGTAATATATCGTTGTTTGATGTGGTTCTTGATAGGTATTATATATAGGTTTCATACTTTCATCCTTTTAATATGGTAGTGTATAGGTACTTTATTCAATGATTCAAAACGAAAAAGTTTATTTTGTTCGAATGGCGCAGACTAGGACGGTTAGGTTATTCACGAATTAATAATAGGTAGGTACTTACTCAAAATCGTATGGACACGAATAGAATTACCTACATTTATCCATGATATAATTTATTATTGCTTATTTATTAATCGTTCATTGATCGATGTCATAAATATTAAATACACGTACCTACACAACGAATTATGTACAAAGTCATGTAACATTTTTTCAGGAACGTAAACCCTTAACCATAACCATTATAATGTATAACTATCTTATGTCGTACAACCTGCTACTATAGTCAGTTTTCCCGTAGACGCCTCCGGAAAGCAGGTATTCGTCGTGTTTTCAAAAATATGGTCGGTTAACGTAATATTGTACAATGTACAGGCACGAGGCATGCTCTTTGAATTTTGATATTTGATGGTATGCAGTATGTGCAAGTCGGTTACGAAAATCGCTGCGATATTTTTGTAATTAGCCTTCATCCAATATTTGCAATCGACTAAGTGTGTAAATATATAATATCAAGCCACATGCCGATACGTAGGTATATAATTTTTATAAGATCGATAATAATGTATTGGTACATATTTTGTTCCCACTGCAGTACAATATATAGGTGTCACTGGTCTCGCCCGTTGGCTTATACCGTTTCAGACACGTTACCCATCATACCCCTACGGCCTACGGCCCTAAATATGATATTATTCTGGATAGATAGTAAAATGATTATAATACACATAGTACCTACCTAACTGTCGTACGGCCTCAAACCATATGCATTTTTTTCGTATGCAACAATACAATAGTAACAGACGTAAGTATAGTACGATGTTCCAATATAAATGCATAATTACTAGGGTTCGGAACTTTTTGCATTTGCATGTTGTTTAATAATGTCTGCAGAATAGTCTTACTGAGATTTAAATTTGTTTAAAGTCGTGAGGGGTTGACGAACAAAAATTTTAATTGCATATTCTCGCTCATATTTCGCCGTTTTCCGAGCAAAATTTGACAAACTTTGGTAATTTAATTGTTATTCGTAGCATATTTACGCAGTTTTCGTTTTATTTTAAGTAAATTTATTTTGAAGGTTAACATTATTTTTTTTTACTTTCATGCGTCGGTCAATATACTGAAACATAGAATGAGTCGGGACAGGGTAACTACGAAAATAGGTACCTAATTGTTCTTGTGTATACTATCGGTTATCGACTTATCGTTTATAGCGTTATTGTTGTCAACAAAATGCTAATAAAAAAAATTGTGTAAATTAAAATGAATAAATCAAATTTTTCAATTGCCATTAAAAAATATTATCCAGTTGCATATTTTCGCGCATATTTCGATTATTTTAAGTGCATATTTCTTATAAATTGTGTGCAATAAGCCCCGAATCCTAATAATTACTAATTACGTGATATATAGGAACATTATTAATACTTACATGGTTTAGGTAGTATCGTAGAAATATGTACGCTTTGATGTCCCATGCTCATACTCCATCTATTCCATCTATAGAAATTGTTCAAGGGACGGCACTGAGTGTGTATACTCAAGTGGTCCTGCAAAAATATGCTGGGCGGGGACCGAGAGGTAAACTTTATTCAAACAATTTTTTTTTAAAGTCATTTTTAGCCGATTTTTACTGTGGGGGAAAGTACGGTTGGTTCGGAACACGTGTATGTGTGCAGGCTAGGATTCGTCACTAAGAACCCGAGTGGTCACGCATCCGGGAACTATAGTGACACACTGACACCGTGCCACTATTTTATGATGATATATCATCAGTGTCAATATCTATTGAACCATATAGTAATAAACACTATAATATATTCACTGTAATAATATATTCAACATTATGTGTTATTTTACGCGTAGATCCTCACGCTGGTCAAGACGTGCGAACCAGTGGCTGAAATGAGGACGTGCCGTTCGCCGAGGGACTGGTCGCTGTTGGCCCTGCAAAACGTCCGCACCGGCAAGTCGCATTACCTGGTCATCTGCAGGTGTCCGCACACCAATCTGCTGGGTATGATATTATTTATGATAATAGATTAATTAATAGATATATTGACCATTGTGATTTTGCACAGTCGTGTGGGTTCAATAAAGCAAATTTCGTATACGAAAAAAAAAGAAACAATATATTATAAAAGGTCCTGTACAGCAGGCGTTCTGGTCCTTTTTATATCGCGTACCACTGCCTACACAGTTTGAACATTTTCATGTACCATTTGACCAAATCACAAAATGTATACGTTATTTCACATGTATGAAATTTTATTTTATGAGAAGCTACAAAATTATAACAATATTATTAAGCATTTAATGCACAAAAAAAATAATTAAATATTTGATATTTTAATGTAGACTGTGAGCCATCCCTTTTTTTATAAAAAGTCATTTTCTTCGTGTACCACTTGTGAACTTTAAAAGTACCACTAGTGGAATGCGTACCACAGGTTAAGAAACACTGCTCTACAGGGAAATTCACTAAAAATATGCTCACCCACATTTATTTTTTAAGTAATACATTTATTTACATTCTGATTTTTAGAGTTTATAATAATACCCATACTGCTATAATACAACTACCATGTTCTCATATATTTGGATTTTTTATAAAACTTTTAAGGAGTGTCCTGTGATTATACCAACCCTTTTTTTATAAGGTCAATGATCATATTTTGAAAATGTAATGTTAGTACCTATAGGTAGGTAGCAAATTTATATCAATCCATCTCCATCGACATTTTATAATTTTTAAAAATTATTGAGTTACAGAATGGGTATAATAAATACTAGATTCAATATCACAATAGATTTTATGTTTTTAAGGGCTACCTATTATACTATTATATTATATACATACACTTTAAAAACTCAGAAACTACCAGTTCGAATTTTGATTCAGATGCATCACGATTTAAAAAATAATAATTGAATTACAATTTACACTATAATCATGGTTTTTATTTGGAAAAAAAAAGTTTGTTCCAGTTACCGCAGGATGACACTTCTTGAATTGTATAAAAAATCGATATTATCGAAAATATGGCTTATAGTTAATATACGTACCTACTTGCTTAGAAATTCGATAAATCAGAAATCGGTAAAATCCATTATCGAACGAAAATATGGCCACGCTTGTCAAGTCACAAAGCACAAACGAATTTCATTAGAATGCGAAACGTTTTTTTCTCATATTAAATATGTTTAATACACCGCAAGCGCGTATGATGTCCATTGTGAAATTCCAAAAAAACTCTTTGGATCATGTTCTCTTATCTGTACAAGTGTACATTTTCTAACTGGAAACGTTTCTGAATCGAAAGCTCTAAACGCACATACACCTATATAATTCGGGATTCCAACAATAGTAGGGCGCGTTAACTGATCCGTTTGCGCTGTGCAGTTTCATTTTTTCTTCATATTACCCGAGGCTTTTATAGGCTATTAAAGTCTATATAGTATTATTTATGTACTCTTTATACAAGGAACTTACCTATATCATTACGACATTGTTCACGATTTGTATAATATGCTTACTCACGTCAAGTCGTCTTTTCGTACAGAGGGCCCGATGAGTCACGACCAGCCGACGTACGCCAGCGTCCCCGGAATCAGAGTGTACGGCATGATGTGCGTGACCAAGAACGGTGGAGGAGCCGGTCACCAGACCACTTTGGCGCCACCGCTCCATTCCAGTCCAGCGCCGATAACCAAGCGGCGGGCAAGGCCCCTGAGGACCCCCCGATCGTTGGAAGCCTACTACAGGAGGTCTTCGGAAAGTAAGTCAACCACTCGACCCGAGTTCGACAGTGTATCTACGCTTAGAGCTTGCTTCGCTACCTCACTATATTAGTGATATTACTAAGATTTTGTGTGTAAAGTACACTTGGGCGAACAACTCCATTCCCTACCGTTCACCGATGTCAACAATTCGAGATACCCCAAGTTTGATGAGTAATTCCTCGTTACTTTTTAGTTTTTTATTCGAGCCCCTTAATTAGTATAGGGTAGGCACCGTATCAACAGGTTTAATCCTCCACTGACCCATTTGCTACGACCCATCTCTATTTTCATTTTTTAAGAGTACACATTTTTATAAGACTTACCTAAGCATCATAATATCATGTTCTTACAACAGGAGAATAAAAATTAGTATTTATAATAATGACTTGAAGTGTCAAATTAGCCGTCCTCGACAACTCTTATAGTATGATGTGCTCATAAGTTGTTAATGTTTTACAGGCCAATCGTCGCCACCATTTCCTTGGCGCAGAGCCATGCAGTTTATCAAATCCGTGCAAGCAGAAGAGTCGCTGAAAAGTAAACAGTCTTAGACCATTCGTCATAAATACTGAAAACGGTTGAATAAAATTAAAATTCGATTAGCAAATACATTATATTTATTATTAAACAATACTAAAATAATAAAATGTAATGAAGCCGCTCAACATTTTTCTTTTACCTAATAATGATTTAATACTTACTTTTTTTTTAAATAGAAATAGTTAATATACAACACACAAAAATACAATAATATGAACGAAATTCTTTTTTTGTAATGTAAAACAAGGTGCTTTGTGCGTTTTAAATGTTCTATAATATTGTACATAGCACACCGGCTACAATTAATTTTATTTATTTATTTATTTTTATTCATTAGATTATTATTTATGTAAATTCATGAAAATTCATGAAAATATAATATTATTTATTTAGGTATATTTAATTTTTTTTTAATAAATACAATACAAAATTTTACTTTTTCACTTTTTTTTTAAATATATTAGTAATATTATTACAAAAACGAAAAATAATTCACAGGAACATCTCCAAGTTTTGTTTTAACTTGTGATATGTCCCAACATAATTCATGGGGCAAACAATTTTACACAAGCCTAGAAAATAGGACATGTAATATATAATTCTCTGCAGATAGATGGATGCCTAACTGCAGCACTGTCGTCAAGACACTCACAGGAATTACTTTTAAAAGTAAAGTTAAAATATGTTTATGCATTTACTTTAAAACCAGAAGTATGATTGAATGGTTATTAAATACATACAATTCTAAGGACATATCTTCTTGAATAAAATATCATTTCTTAGATTTCTTAAGCTTTTTAGTCTTCTTATTTTTACTTTTTTTCTTACGTTTATGTTTAGAACTGTTTTCTATTGTTTTCTCTGAACTTTTATTAATACTTCTACTTCGACTCTTACTCTCTGAATGACTTTTGTGGGATTTTTTAGGACTCTTACTTTTTGATGGACTTCTACTTCTTGAATTGCTTATTCTTGTACGACTCTTACTTCTTGACCTACTATAATATTTATTTCGACTTCGACTTCGGCTATGACTATAACTTCTGGAGCTTCTACTGGAAAATGATCGCTTTCGTTTTCGACTTCGACTTCGACTACGGCTACGACTCCGACTCCTGTCATTCTCTGTTTTTTTGTTAAGTTTTTGAATGTACTTGTGATACTTGTGTCCGTAATTAATCAACTGCATTGGATCAAACATGGGTGGCATTAGGTATGGTCCTCGACCTATATATTGATGTGTGCCGCCGCGATTACCTCTCCAATGTCCTCGGCCTCGGCCACGATTGTTTTGGTCATTGTTATAACTGCGATTTTCAGGATCATTATTATTTGTAGAACCTGAAAAAAAAAATTAAGTAATAAAGTGCATTTAATAATTATAAAATAATAAAATAATAAATATTACATAAAGTATATTCTGATAATATGTTATGTAAATTGCAATGAACAAAAAAATACAATTTACAACAAAATATCAAAAATTGATAGATCGAAATTCATTAATTTACCGGTGAAAATCCAATATCATAAAATGTTTTAATTCAATTGCTCATAGAAAATTAATGTTACTTTTCGGTCTAACTTTATATTTTTGCTAGAAGATAAAACATTTTGTGGGTAATCTTTCAATAAAATTTCTTATGTTAGCCATGGAAAGAAAAATTTGTACCATTTTCTAACTGAAAAATAATTTTAAAATGTTCGAGTTTTTTATGAATTTTTCATTGATTGCCTATAAAAAGTAATCATGACTATATCTTTAATATTTTTGAACTTATTATATTTTTTAAATGTTACCATAGATAAAAAATGCTGTTTTAAAGAATTTGTGAACATTTCATGTGTCTACTGTATTTAGTTAGTTTTTAAGTTACACCAAAAAAATTAAAAATTGACTTTTTCTGAAATTAGTTTTATGTGAAAATTACAAGAAAAAAAATATATTTTGTTTTTCAAGATGCTTTAAAAAATTACGAGGAATTTTCAATTTTGACCTCTTAAAAAGTACCAAGTACTATAGGCTTTAGCGTTGTATTTTCCTATGTTATATTTGCGGAGTGGGGTTAAGTTACTTTTAAAGAGTAATCAATTTACTTTACTCGTAACTCAAATAAAATCTTAATGAAATAATTAAGTACAATGCAAGTTAATATGTTAGTCCAAAAACATTGAAAACTGAATTGTGTGAAAAAGGTAAATTTGAAAGAATATACTCATTATAAATATTTGTATACAATCAAGCCACAATATAATTGAAGGGAGGAAAAAACTTTGATATAAGTACTATTTGAGATATCTAACTCAAATTTAACCCTAACCTCAAAGGGGGAGAAGTTTTCAAGAGTTTTTAAGTGTTTTGAGTTATTGTGACTAGCTGTAGTTAATTTTATTTCTCAATCACAAATAATTTCTATTGCTCATAACATCCTATACTCCGTTTCAAAAGAGAATATACCAGTTCTGCAAGATTTGTTTGCCCTTTTACCGGGCAAAACTACCTATATCGTTATATGGAAGGTGCACGTCGCAAGATGTAAACCGGTCGCTGCCTAGTAGATTCACTTTTTGAAAGGAATAAACTTGCAAAAAATTATAATGAAATATTGCAAAGCGTTACAAAAAAGTAATTCTGTTACAGTAATGAGGTACTTTTATTGCATTTCTGACACTGTACATTAATGGACTATCAAGAAAAATGCAACCTGACATAAATATAACATGTAAAACCAAAATATTAACTTCTCAGTTCATAAACTTATAATTATAAAATTTACTTTTTAATATTTTATGCTGAAATGGTTTCCATTTTTCAATCATTCTTTGTCTGAAAGTAGACTCAATATCTCTACATTGAACATTCTAAAAATAATTAAAATTCTTGTTAATAATTTACCAAGAATATTATATTTCATAACTTACATTTGTATTGCTATTATTTTTTTCAAATTTTTCTTCCTCATTACTTTTAGAATTCATATTTGACTAAAATGCAAAATTAGTTTATAAATTAACTAACAAAAAAATATTATTAAAAAGATTTTAAATATACCTTAATTCGTGTAAACAATTCTCCCAGTAGATGTATAGCTTCTAGTTTTCTTTGTGTTTTTAACAGAAGTCTCTCTTCTGTTGCTATTTTTTGGTTCATTACATCTGCTTCTCGTTCAGCTAAACGCTTAATACGTTTTTCTTTGCGCTTTTCTTCTCGTAATTTACGCCTTTCATTTTTTTTTTCCAGTTCAAACATTTTTTTTTTACTAAAAGGAATGTTAAAAAAAAATGTATATAGTTATTATTAAGTCTTATCAAATTATACATTTAGTTAGGTATTACTATCTTACTTTTCTTCTTCTCGTTTTTTTAATTCCTTTGCTTTTTCTAATCTTTCTGTTTCTTCGATTACTTTTTTCCTCATAAGGAAACGATCACGGCGTTCATGTCTTTTAGTAATCGCACTTAATGTCATGTGTTTTGTTTTATCAAAGTCAACTTTGATATTAGCTGTTAGTGCTTTTGTATCCGTAATTAAAGCCAATCTATTACCTCGTAATGCATCCATCGCTTTAGCAAAAGCTGAATAGTCTCTGAATTGTATGTACGCGTCACAGATTCCAACTCCATGAATAACTCTTGATGGATCAGCAGCTGGCAAATCAACACGGGCTACTTCACCGAATCCATTGAATATTTTTTTTAGAATATTTTCACTTGGATGTTTTTCTCCAGGTTCAGTTAACCATTCCAAAGGTAAATTTTCAATGTGTAAAGTATCAGGACGCTCACCTGGTTTTAGTTCATTCATATCTTTATTATCACGAAAATATGAATCCCAATTATGACGAGTAGGAAAATTTGGTTTAGATTCAATAGCACGTACAGTCAAAAGATGAGAAAATCCAGGAAATTTTATTCGTCTATCACACAAACGGGATAATACTGTTGACAATCGAGAACGGTCTGCTAATTCTGCATCGAACCTAAAATCAAATCAACAATAGGTATTTGATACATAAATATGGTCTTTGAAGATACCTACATTGAAAATATTTACTAACCTTATTAATTCCGAAGATGTTTTTGCTACACAAAGATGAGAAAACTTGTCTGGATCTATCCATTCTTTTAAGCGCTCCATGATTTGCCAATTGGAAATTGTTGTCTTGGTTTTTCCATCCAATTGAACAGTGATCATAATCCGTGCAAAAGGTTTCAGAAATAAATTTAGACGAGGACATAATGGAATTGCGTCTGATTGATCTACTAATGTTTCAAATATAGCCTGCAATATAATATCCTTGGGATGTATGAAATACTTGATAAATAAGTGAATTAGGTGGTCGGTGTATGAAAATATAAATGTATTCTAGCAACTTAATAATTTCAATTTAAGAACACTGTTCACCAATATTTATTGAAACTGTTTAGGTGATCAGATAAACAATGTAATAAAAAAGACTTAAAATTAAATTAGTATAATAATTACCAAAGTTTTTTTTAAACATCATTAACAATATTTATCATGATAACATTTTATATATTTCAGACCAGCCACCAAAAAATCACTTCCAATTTAAAATAACACTTAAAGAAACAAAAATATCATACAAAATATTATAAACGCAAAGATTTATCAATAGGTACTGAGTTCAGAGTTTCAAAATGTATTTTAGCTATCAGTATTATTATTTATTTATATTAATATTAGCAGCATATCTATTAATATGAATAATGGTATGGTATAGTATATTTACAATCAATAGATATTAAGATGGATTATACTAACCAAAAGAAATTAATTAATAATTTTAAAAAAATTGTACTGAATTTACATATTATGATCAACAAATATAAACATTATTTCTTCAACCTATTTAAACTGGTTTTAATGTACAAATTCTAATATTGCCCAACTAGACACAATGTCAGAACAAGATATGACATTATGTAAATTCCCACAAACACCGTTAGCACAAATAATTACAGCAAAATATTTATTTCAGATATCTATTAGCATCAGAAGCCTCTTAGGCTTATCAGTCCCATCAATGTTTGCAATTTAAAGTTAGGACTGTTAAATAATTATATTGTATTACATTGTTATAGTTAAAAATGTAATTAACCTGTTTTGAGTTCATT